AAAAAAAAAAAAAAAAAAAAAAAAAAGATAAATCGTAGAAAATAAATATAATGGCTGGATGTAGTGGCTCACATCTATAATCCCAGCACTTTGGGAGGTCGAGATGAGAGGACTGCCTGAGCCCAGGGGTTCAAGATCAGCCTGGGCAACTTGGCAAGACTTCATCTCTACAATAAATCAAAAAATCAGCCAGATGTGGTGGCGCATGCCTGAGCCCAGCAAGTCAAGGCTGTGGTGGCAGTGAGTGTGCCACTGCACTCTGGCCTGGGTGACAGTGAGAGACTGCAACTCAAAAAAATAAAAATAAAAATAAAATGAATATAACTAAAACTTTAAAAATTTTTTCTTTCTTTCTCACTTTCTCTCTCTTTTTTTTGAGCTGGAGTCTCATTCTTGTTGCCCAGGCTAGAGTACAGTGGTACGTTCACCATAACCACAGTCTCGACCTGCTGGACTCAGGTGATCCTTCTGCCTCAGCCTTCCACGTAGCTGGAACTACAGATGCACGCCACCATGCCTGGCTAGTTTTTTGTGATTTATTGTAGAAATGAGTCACCATGTTGCCCAGGCTGGTCTCAAACCTCTGGGCTCAAGCAATCCTCTCGCCTTGGCCTCCCAAAGTGCTGGGATTACAGGCTGAGTCACCACGCCCAACCTAAAGCTTCAATTCTAAAGCAGGTTTTCGTTCATCTTGGGCAACACCATTTGCCAAAACAGGAAAACCAAATGGTATATGTACTTTCATCAGCACACAATGAATATAAACACTCCTTAGGCACTTTTAGCTGTTTACATTTTTATATTTAGATAAATGTGTTTAGAAATACCAGGTAACATAATTTCAGATTCAGATGGTGTACTCCTTCAAGGAGAGCCTATCACTAATTCTGATAAATTCCCGTTTTATGCATAAGAAAACTGATATTCTAGGAGATTTAACAACTACAGTAAAACTTAAAGTAGAACCAAGGTTTTTAATTCTTTTTTCAGAGTTTTCTAAAATTTAGAGTCAGCATCTCACTCTGTCACTCAGGCTGAAATGCAGTGGTACAATCATGACTCAATGTGACCTCAAACTCTTGGGCTCAAGCAATCCTCCCACTTCAGCCTCCCAAGTAGCTGATACATGCCACCACGCTGGCTAATTAAAAAAAATTTTTCTGTAGAGACAGGTTCTTGCTATGTTGCCCAGGCTGGACTCAAACTCCTGGCCTCAAGTGATCCTCCCGCTTCTGCCTCCCAAAGTGTTGGATTACAGACGTGAGATGACACTACACTTAGTGTTTTGTGGGGGTTTTTTTTTTTGCATATTATTATTTTTAAATTTTTATTTTAAAGATGTAGGGTACAATTCAGGGTTAAGTATACAAACGGTCATTGTATAGGTAAAGTCTGGGCCTCACTCTGGTCCCCACTTCACCTGGTTTGCGATTAGGTACCCTTATTGATGAAGTGTGCCCCCTCCCCGCCACTCCTCTGGTAGTTTCCCACTACAGCCAATCTCTTTCTTGTATTAAGTATTATGATTAATTGTTCAGGGTCCACTTTAGAGTGAGAACATGTGGCACTCAATTCTTTTTCTGTGATAGATCACTGAGTATTGGTTTTTAATCCTTATATCAATAATATAGTCTGTTTAGCAAGAGCAGCCAGTATAAGGGCAATTTAAAATTTCAGGGTGGCCGGGCTTGGTGGCTCAGCCTGTAATCCCGCGCCTTTGGGAGGCTGAGGTGAGTGGATTGCCTGAGCCCACGGGTTCAAGACCCGCCTGGGGCA